TTTCGTTTTTTATATTTTAATAAAGGTCAAATTGAGAAAACAAACAATGAATAATTTAGTTTAATGAATAATAGAGTAGATGAATAGCGTAATATTATTAAGAGAAAAGAAAAACATGATAAAAATAAATACGCAAAATGACCCCATTAGAGAAAAAACGCGTAAAGGTTACGTAAAAAGAATGTAACGCATAAGAACTAGTAATTCATAAATAATGCGTAGCTTGAACAACGCTTGAAATAAAATACAACGCGTAAAAGTAAAACTACGTGATAAGAAAAGAACGGGGAAAAGATAGCAACTTGGAAAACAGAGTAACACGAAAAAGAATGTAACAAAAAATAATGTGTGTAAACTAAAGTAAAAGTGACGCATAAAAATTTAAACGTGTAAAAGAAATATGTAAAATATAATATCAACTTAAAGCATAAAGAAAAGTGACGCTTAAATGTAGCAGTAACACATATGAAAAAAAAATGCGTAAAATATATAAGGAAGACTAAAGATGTAGAACAACAGTAAAAATAGAGCAAAAAGTAAATGTAAGATGAAACGAAAAGCTACGTGTATAAAGTGCAAAAGCCCAAGATCGAGAAAACTGAAATGGGCACTGTAGGCCTTGGCCCTCCATGGGCTATCGCACCATCGAGTTCAGTATAAAGCGCAAAAGTACCTCTTAAATAAATTTTAGGCGTAAAGAAAAAGTAAAACATAAGATGTATAATTTAAGAAAATAACTCATAAACGTAAAGCATAAGGAAAAAACATTTAAAAGTAAAGCGTAAAAGTAGAATTTGCGTATGTATAAAGTAAACGCATAAGATATAACGCGTGAAAATAGTTGAAACTCATAGGAAAAGTAAAAGATAAAGTAACGCATACAAAAGTGATTGCATAAAATTAACGACAAAGAAAAATTAATCATAAAGGAATATAACGCATAATATATATTAACGCGTCGAAGTAACCCATAAATGGAACTGACGCGTAAAATTTTACAAGTAACAGAAAAAAGGCGAAGTAATTAATAAGAAAAATGCATAAGAAATATAGCGTAAAATAAACGCATAATAAAAGTAAACTCGTGAAAGCAACGCATTAAGGAAAAAATAAAGAACTGAAGGTAAACCTTGTCCATTCTACTGTGGTCCTAAATTGCGGTAAAAATAAAATTATATATTGTAAAATAAACTGAATATGTATTTTTTTGTTCATAACGAGTTTGATTGTCATAACTTTTTACTTTACTTAAAAGAATTCAATTAACGAATTTAAGATATAAATGTTTTATTGAATCGTTTCGATTATAAATGACATATTATCCAAATTAAAAGAATAGTTAAGCATAAAATACAGCAAAAATTGAATTTTGTTTTGTAAAGCAGTAAATATAGAATCAAGCAAAGCGTGAAACTTCATATATTTTGCGCTTTACACTACATCATTTTTTTAAGTGAAAAGTGAAATATTAAGAAGTTTGTAAAGTAAATGAAGAACGTAGGACAAAAATTAGAAATTATATTTCAGAATAAGAGTTGCTGAAGGTTAAGATAAGTTAAAGTAAAAGCTTAAAGTAATATAAGCATAAATAGAAAGTGTTGCGCGAGGAGTAAGATATTAAGTAAATTTAAAAATGAGGTCAAGCGGAAAGTATAAATGTAAAGCGCAGAGTAAAAGGCGAAAAGTATAAAATTCAAAAAATAGTATAAAATATAGTGTTAAATAAAAAGTAAAATATAGAATTATGTAACGCATAAAATAAGAAAAAAAGGTTAGCCGTCAAATGTTTGCATCACATGTAAGGTAAAGAGTAAAGAAGTTTGTGCAGCAAAGAGTAAAGTAGCACATAAAAATGTAACGCAATAAATATAATAAAATTGAATCGTAAAAGTTAGAAATCGTAATAATAAAATTAAAACACATGTGAAAAGAAAAGAAGTAATAAAATTAAAACACATGTGAGAAGAAAAAGAAACGCATGCAAAGAAAATGCAACAATGTAACGCATAAATAAAAGTAAACATAATACGTAAAGTAAATAGCACGTTAAATAAATGGAATGGATACAAAATTAAGCTCTCAAACTTATGTAGAAAAGAAAAGTAACGCGTGCAATATAATTACACGTAAGATTAACGTGTTCGAAAATTAATGTAAAAGTAGTACATAAGTAAAGTAACGCATAAGGAAAATAAATGTAATGCAAAAGAATAGAGAAAAACGTTTAAAAAAAGCCTCACGTGAAATATAATAACGCGTAGAAATCGTGTGCAACCTGTAAAAGTATTTAAATTAAAGCATAGAGATGGGTAAGTAGTACGTAAAGTAAAAGAAAATGCTTACGAAATTAAACACGCAAATTTACTTAGAAAAGAAAAGTAACGCATGTAATAAAATTACGTGCAAGATTAACGTGTTCGAAAATTAATGTGTCAAAGTAATGCATAAGTAAAGTAACGAATAAGGAAAATAAACGTAATGCAGAAGAATAGAGAAAAATATAATAACGCGTAAAAATCGTGTGCAACCTGTAAAAGTATTTTAAATTAAAGCATAGAGATGGTTAAGTAGTACGTAAAGTAAAAGAAAACGCTTACGAAATTAAACGCGCAAATTTACTTAGAAAAGAAAAGTAACGCATGTAGTATAATTACACGTAAGATTAACGAAAATTAAATTATAAAGTAATTCGTTAAAGTAGTTCGAAAATTAATGCGTAAATGCAACATATAAGAATAGAATGTAATGCTTAAAGAAAAGTATCACGTAAAATATAATAACGCGTAAATGTAAATGAAATATGTATTGTCAAACTTATAAGATATGAAAAGTAAAGTATTTAGTTAAGTAAAAAATATGAGAGGTAAAAACGAACAACATAAAATAAAAAGTAGAAATTATAGCAGAGAATAAATTGTAGTAAAAACTAAAGCTTCAGTAACTAAATATTTAAAGTAAAACGCTCAAAGCAAAATAGAAAGTAAAGTCACGCGCTAAAGTTATTAAAGTAAAATAAAAAGTCGAAAGTATAAAAAATTATGGGATGTAGAAAGTATAGCATAAAGAAGAGCGTAAAGCGTAAAATAAAGTAAAACGCGAACTAAGCAAAGCGTTGCATATTAAGTTACGTATAGAATAATGTAAAGCAAAAGATATAAAATAAAGTAAGGTGTAAAAGATAAGCGTAACATAAAAAAAAAGCATTAAGAAATTTGTGAAGTAAAAAGCAAAGAGCAGCGTAAAATAAGCGAAGCATACAATAAAAAGTATGTAAAGCGCATGTGTAAAATATATATACGTAAGTGTCAAATATACAGAAATGTAAAAAGTAAAACGTAAAATATAAATTAAAGTATAAATAATGTAAAAAGTCATTCAAGAAAAGTAAAATAAGGTAAAAAGTGTATTAATTAAAGCGTAAAAAAAAGTTTCAAAGTAAAATAAATGTAAACAAATGAGTAAAATTAAGACTAAAGTTAAGTGTTAAATAAATTAAAAGTGCGTAAAAGAACATAAATTATAATTTAATATTCAGTGAATTATAAAGTAAACGAAAGAGTAAAATAAAAATAAAGCTTATAATGTACAGTAGATGGAAAAGTAAAAAAAGCATGAAAAATAAAGTAAAGTAGAAAATGAAAAGTTTGCAATGTAAATCAAATCTAATGCGTAATATAGATTGAAAATAAGGCAAAAAGTAAAGTAAATTATAGACTACAGTAAAAATGAATTTAAAGCGTGAAATAAAAAGTAAAGCGCAAAAGTAACGTACAAAGGAAGGAACCACATCAAGAAAAAAAAAGTTTGGTGTAAGTAAGGAATCGAAAATGTAAAAGTAGGGGAAAACCAAAAGTAACGCATAAAATGAGAAAAGCATAAAGAAAAGTAAACAATAAATTTTAAAGTAAATGTGTACATTAAAGCATAAAGCAAAGGAACGTGAAAAAACGGGAATAAAGTATAAAAAAGTAACGCGTTAAAGCTACCTATTAGAAAAAAAAAGGAGTGCATAAAAGAAACGGATAAGAAAAGAAGCCTCTTAAAAGTAATACATAAGAAAAAACGCATTAAGAAAAAAATTGCGCTAAATATGCAAAAATAAAGCATATAAAGCCAAAACGTAAAGCATTAAAATAGAGTCTAAAAGTAACACTTAATTAAAAGAAAAAAAGTAAGGCATAAAAAGAGTAAAATCGCGTAAATGTAACGCGTAAAATAAAATAAATGGAATAAGAAAAGTTACGCATAACAAAGTTAACGTGTAAACAAAAAGTATTGCGTAAAAGAAACGCATAAAAATAGTAAAAATAGTGACTGCACAAAAGTGAAATTAAAAGAAAAATAAAACATAAATAAAAGCATTAGGAAAATTACGCGTAAAAATAACATATATATTGAACTAGCGTGTTAAATATAATAGCACGAAAATTTTTCAAATAAAGCAAAAAGTAATTAGTGCAAAAAATAAATGACTGCTTTATAAAAGTAAGAGTAATGCATAATGAAAAGTAACTCGTATTTTACAATGCGTAAATTGATCTCGCTTGATGCGCAAATATAATGCATGAGAAAGATATTGCGTAAAATATAATGTCGTATAGAAGAAATAACAACACAAAAAGCCTGTAAAGGTAACGCAAAAGAAGCGTTAATACGTAAAATATAACGTGCAGCTATAAATATAACGCATTCAAACAAACGTGTAAGAATGGTAAAGTATAAAAGAGGTAAATAAAGAGCATTATAAAATATAACGCATAAAGAAGAGTGACGCGTAAGAAATTAAAATTGTAGAAAGTAAAGTAAAAAAAGCAAGTTTAAATGTGAAGCTTAAGAAAAAGTTAGACTTAGAATAAAGGCGTAAAATATAAAAATGCGTAAATATATAATGCATAAAAGGAAATATAAAGTATAAGGAAAGTAAAGGCATCAAAGTAGCGCATAAAATTACATGATCACGTTTGAAAGTTAATGCACTTTCCCGTTCCATGCTCAAGTTAACCACGTTCAGAAGCTCACTTAAGGCTGAATAGTTAAGCTCTTCTGGTTTCGGCAACTCTTCTTGAAAAGATCTTGCCTTGAAAACACTACTTTTGCAGGTGGAGGAGAGGCTAATACCCTTTTCTCCGTTACTACCAATACCACTCTTCTCGACAGTATGTCTTAACCACGGAAACTGTGGAATAACGAAAGAAATTTACTATTACAATACAAAGTAACATAATGGCAAAAATATGACAACAATTAATATAAAAATTTTACTTTAGTTACTTTTTATTAAATAATTAAAAAATTTTCTCCCATATTATAAAACTAAAATTAATTAATTGAATTTTATTAATGAATTAATATTTGAAAAAAAGGAACTGTATTAACACCATGCATTATTTTTATTTAGAATAAAATAATTTATTGAAAAATGTCCACGTACATTAAAAGAAGGGGGGGGACAATTTTTTACTGAATTATAAGTCTATAACAATTTTTCCTGTAAAAAAAAAAAAAAAAAGATTGCACAGGAAAAATAATAGCTTTATTTACCGCCTGCATAAAATTAAATGATCCTTTTGTACAGTTCTTACAAACTATTATATTTGATGTTTCAAAGCAGACAATATTATCAGATGTACCTTTAACTTGCATTTGGTGGCATAGCTAACGGTGAACGAGAAAGAGCATATGTCCCTGGTTGTATCATTAGAGAAGAGCCAAATTTATGAAGAAAAAATTCTCTACAAATTCTAGAATAAATTTTTATCCCTTTTTAACATCCCCTCTCCAGTTTCATCTGCCAATTACAGGCCTAATAGCTACTAACAATTTGTATCTCATTTACCTAATAGTTGAATAGGATGTGTGTTATTGTGGTATTGAGTTTATTATTTTTTTAAAATATAAATTTGCTTTACTCAAAATAATAAATAAATAACTACAGAATGTTCTGAATTTCTCTCTTTCTAAATACATACATTTTTCAAGCTCTAAGCAAAATGATTGATTTAAAATGTTCTAAATAAAGTTAAATTGTTTCTCAAAAAATTGAAACTGAGTTGCTTACCTCACATAAATAAACAAAATAAAAGTAAATTAAAAAAATATATATAAAAACTTCACTGATCAATTTTAAGTCATAATATAAATAACTTAAAGCACAGCATAGTTAAACAAATTTTAATATGTTACTGCAGTGAAATACATTATTGTAAACTAACCTAAATGAATATTTAGATGGATTCTATTCATATTTGATTTTAAAAAGAGAAAGCAAAATAAGAGATGAAAATAAGTAAAAACAAATGTAATAAAAAGAAAAGCAGTGGTATCTGATGCAAAAACAATTATTAATTTACAATAAAAATACTTATTATCAAAATTCTGCTTTAAACAGAAAAAATAATTTAATTATGTTAAATCTTGCACAGTACGATTAATTATGTATCTTGGTATCATGCTTAAAATATCAATAAGTGCATGAGAATTTCTTTTGTAAATCAAAATGTGAAATGTTTCTACACATTTGTGCCTGTTAATAACCTGTTTTGTTACAGTTCACTTCGATTATTATTTCTTTTATTTCCATTATTAGTGTGAATTTTTAAAAATAAAAAAACATTTCAAATGATGTTGCCTTTCATTTAATAATCTGTAACTTGATCAAAATTTATATTAAGGTATAAGTCATTATTTCTAAATCTTCAATTTTTTACTTTGAAAATGATACCTTATTTGTTTAATATTAAGTTTAAAATTTTGGTCATCTGGTTGCCCAACTCGAAACCTGTACCTGTACAGTGCAGAATAAAAATACAAGGTTTCGTTTTCCTTCTTTCTAATAAACAAATATAATTAATAAAAATTTATATTCTAAGTTTATACATCATTTAAAATGTTTTTCATACTTTCTTTGTTTCTTGCCAGCTTTTTAGGGTAAAAGGAGAAACAGTTTCGGAAATATATCTGAAATGTATGCGAAACATTTACAAACTGTCGACATTGTGATTAATACACAATTCAAAAATCAAATATTTACCAACAACAGAAACATTTAATGTTGAAATCTAGTTCATATAAGAACCTTTTTCTTTTCAATAAAACATGCTATAAGAGGTTAAAATGAAATTCAGAAAATTAGCATCAATGCAACAATTGTAACAATTTTGCTATTAGCAATTCAAAGAAATGAGTGATTGGTTGGCTTTGCCAAGAAAAAATAATTCATTGGATGAGAAGACAAAAGCTTTCAGAAAAGAGTACAAGATAAAATCTATTATTAAATTATAACCAACTAGTTTTTTAAAAGTTAAAAACACTAAAACATTTTGTTAAAAGAGAAAAATACCACCAAAGCATTGGAACAAACTTGAATGAATTCAGCCTGGGAATCACAAATATCCTTCCACCTCTATTACAATTTTTGCCTTTCCTAAACTGCTTCATCTCCAAAGAGGTCAAAGATTTTGCCATTCATTTAGCAACAGTTTCATATGGCATTGTGGTTTATCAGGGAAAGAATGCAAGAAAAGTATAACTAAGTTGATGATATTTCAACTGCTTGATTTCAGTCTAAATAAAGAGGATATAACAGATGGTAAAATAATTCCAGCTTTTCTTTAAAATTCCTTGATTTTTCAAGGTTTTTATCAACATTTCACTGACTTTCCCAGATTTTTTCCAGTAAAAAAAATTCCCTGATAATTCCAGGTTTTCCAGGTGGGTGGCCACCCTGTTTTTCCAACAAAAAGAAAAGAAAAGAAAAAAAGATACATCCTTCATTTACATACATAAATTTAACTTAATATTTTGGAGAACTTTTTGTTGAATTACAATATTCTTAATATCAATAAATGTAAGAAATTTTCCTTAGTGGAAATAGTTAGTGTGAATCATCGTTTTGAAATTTGTGCTCGTAGAATACTTACAAATTGAGAATCGTGAAATCGCCACTCGGTCTCTGCAATGATATGTCTGTCATTGGGAAATAGTTCAAGAACATTCCATAAGAACCATTTTGAGTTATGTGAGAATCAGAAATCAGCAATTCAGTGCAGCTTTCAGTTGAATATTCACCTTCTGCGTCTAAATGCAGTCCATACCTTTCATTGTGCTCAATATTTGAAGATTGTAAGTGTAATGAGCTTAAAGATTTCATTTGGATACCATCTTTCTACAAATTATTAGAAATTATTATTATCAATTAGAAATCAATTAGGTTATTAGAAATCAGAACATAATTGAAAAAAAAAAAAGATTATGTAGAGAAAATGAAAATTTAATAATAATTGATAAAATAAAACTCATCAATTTTCTCAACACCTATTTAGAAATTAAAGAATGTAAATTTGAGGTAGTTGACAATTTCGTTTACTTGGGGTCTGTAATCAACAGGAGGAACAATATTACGATGGAAATACAAAGAAGAATAACTAAAGCCAGTAAATAATATATGAAATTCAAAAATAATTCAAATCTACTGTAATTCATAGAAAAACATAAGTTTTATTATATAAATCTCTTCTAAGATCAAATTTATCATATGCTTGTGAAATTTTTAAAGAACATTTTATATTTTAATAAAATATCACTCTGAGTGGGGATATTGTTAGACAAATCCATTTTAAAAATTAGATTTTTCGGCTACCTAAATTTATGACTTTCCTTGAATTTTTGAAAAAATAGTGAAAATCATGACTTTTCAGGTGCGCAGATACCTTGCTTGTAATAAAAAATAGGATACACAGAATACATGTTCTACATTGATGGAAAAAAAATAACTATGTATCTGCTGATTTTTTTATCTCATCAAAATGCTTGATGTCACATTTTTTATTACCCTCTGCTTCCCCCCTAGTCACAAACTATCCCTTTTTCTCATCTTAAAGCACATCTACTGCTAAACATCCACATTTTCAACAAAAAGTTTTCTTTAATAATAGGTAAGTAAGAAATGTAAGTATCGAAAATATGATACAAATTTAAAATGAATTATATCTTAATCCAGTCACCATTTATAAATACCTGCAACATTGGAGAAATGAAATAACCGAGATTTTATCAGTAACATATTTCAGGTTACAAATTGAGTTTTGATACATCATGCATAATCATGTAAATCAAAAAGAGAAATTCAAAATTGGAAATATTATAAGCACTTACAGTTTGCAGGGGTCTGTCTAGGTTTTTATGAGAGGTACCTATTTTGTGAAAATGTAGGCATAATTTGTGAAAATTAAAAATTATATTAAAAAATCAACACAAAAATAGGGTGGTAAATATAAAAGATATTTCCAAATACTGTGACTACAAATAAAAATCATTTATGACTGGTAAATTTTTATAAATTTTTCCCCATATATTCAAAGATAATTTTGCTTTATTAAAATTTTGGGTTTAAAATTGCATCTAACTTTAAAAATCCATAACATATATTGTCCATTTTTAAATTTCAACTTGAATTTTTTTAAAAAAAAAACATGCATTTAACAGTACTTTCACTAAAAGTTATTTTCATTATGAGAATATTTCTCACTGGGTCACATAGAAAAAAGTTTCAGAGAAAAAATGCTTCATAAAAAAATAAATGTCAGTTTAAATTTAGAACAAAGTTTAGAATAATGTTCGAATTTCAACCTCCTATAAAGCTTACAGAGTCTAGTCATTTAATTTTTTAAAGAAAAAAAAAAGAAAAAAAAACTCGGTGAAAAAAAAAACCGCTATAACATGGCGTAAGCAACCGGTTAGGCTTTCCACACCGCACTATCTGACCAAGCACGTGTACCTATTCGTATATGCTTAATTAACCTGGGATTTATTTTTTCTTATGGGGTTGCAAAAACAGAATTTCAAAAGGCGGGGAGGAGAATCTTGGAACTTGCTTTTTTAGACGCATTTTGTGAAACTACCATTTTTCCTTAAGTTGAATTTGTGAAGGTACCGCTAAATGGTAATAAATTTGCCCTGAACAGACCCCTGGTTTGTGAAGTAAAAATTATGAATATATTTCTTAATCTCTAAATGAGATTTTTTTAAAGGAATTATTTATAATTACTTAAAATATAAACACTCAAAATAGCACCATCTGTTGAGGAATAAGAGAAGTATTTTTGCCATCATCAATTATTTTATCGGCAAAAATTTCTCCAATAAGTACGAAGAAATTTGAGAATCCTAATTTTTTCGGGCTTCCTGCGAGTTGCCTCACTAATACTAACATTTTTCTAACATAGACGATATTTTTAAAAATAACAAATATACATGTTACTAATTTAAAGTAACAGAAGCATCAACTTCAAAAAAATAATAATAAAAAAAAAATAAACTTTTCAGTTAAAATAATATAATTTTTTTATTTGAATACGTAACATTTTTTAAAAATTCTAATATTATGGCTGATAATTATTTCCTTTTTTGCATTTTGTAAATCATCATCACATTAAAAAATAATTAAAAAAATCAAGAAATCCGTAGCATTAGTATTTGGGGGGGGGAACGACGGCGAAATCACGCGTGACAGACTCTTCGAAAAGGAGTTACTAAATACGTGCTTTCATTTCGAGATTCAGGTGTTGTTATAAACAATATCGTATTAAATATATAGAACTTAAAAACTTTGTGTACAATAGTAAAAACTACAAAGAATAGAATGAAAATTTCTGCAGAAAAGAAAACCCAAATTTTTTACTTCCCAAAGGAAAAATTCTTCCCCAAGAACTCGGCTACATTCTGCGACAATGTCGACACGATTCTGTCACAGGGCTCGAGAATACACAGGTAACAGGAGATAGTCCGAAAATACAGGATTCTTCGTTAAAAACCAGGAAACTTGGCAGGTATGTGTATCCAATTTTAAACAAAACCATGACAAAAGAAATCCAAGTTACCTTAGTGACAAACAATGGTGTCTTGCAAGACTGCTTCCGCACCTCCCAGCAGCAATATTCCATGATCAGAAGCATTACTGTCAACAATGCATCCCTTCATGTGAAGTTTTCCATGGTGGACAACTCAGCAGATCCTTCTTCACTCTTAATAAGACATTCTCAATTTCTATAATTCTGGTGCAACAGTTTAAGAAGACATCACTGTTGCCTGTTGCTTCAAGCACAATCTCCTTACAGGAGTCAACTCCAAAAATATTTAATGAAAACGATACAAGGAAAAATTGAATGATGTCTGAAAATGTTAAATGAATTACAAAGGTGCGAAGTCAAATCCTTCAACAAAAAATAAGCACCTTTTAAGAACTCAAAAGATTTTTTTTAAGCACTATATACATTAACAAAATGCAAAATAATTTTCAAAGACTTCACATGATCATAATAAAAATAAGTAGTTTCTGACAAAGAACTCTTTTCTTGACTATATTAGCCATTATAAAATGATCAGGATATTTTTCGGTTCGTTATCAGAGGGTGGAAAATGAAGCCGGAAATTGAGAATATCTAGCAAATTGCACATGAGAGTGCTATAATCTCACTGAGTCCAGCTCAGTAGACGCACATGCGGACTCGCAAGTATTTCATCAAACATGTAAAATGATTCGCGCTTTCTTTGGCTATGGATCGACAGTACAGCGAAATGGATTGTGGTTGAATGAATTGTGAGAACATTGAATAGAACAATTTGAAAAGCACGCTTTTGCGTAATGCGCAGCGAAAATCGACATAGTAAAGAAGAAAAA